GGGGTGGCCGCTTCTGGCGGGCCGCCTTACTTGAAAGCCGCGGTTCCCCCTCCTGGGGGAGCAACCGGAGCAGCACCGCTGCGGACTCGCGCCGCCAAACACCAGTAACACTTCAGTGACTTAATTTTTCTTCTTTTCCCCATGGCTGAAAGCTCATTTCCTCGCGGAGGAAATTCACCCTCGCCAGGGACCTTCCCTTATAGCCATCTCTTTAGGTCTCCCTCGTCCCAGCTGTACGTGGAGTACAAGTGATGCAGACCCAAGTCTTTGGTACAGACTTACAAGCAGTTTGCTCCAGCACAGAGCTGGGACAAACTTATATATGTTTATTTCTAAGACACTGTACGATGTTAAAATGGTTGGAGGAAGAAAGCACTTCTAATTAAGCAGTGAAGAGATTTGTACTGTCTGGCATGAATATCAGGTGTTTTCTCCCTCTATCCCGCGGGGTTAACCTAGGCAAGGAAAGAAACACGCACACACGCAGCCTATTTCTATCCAGGTGAAAGAAAACCTAGCTTTAAAAAACAAGTAGGAAGAGCAAGAGTACATATTTGACTTAAAAGGCCTGAAGCTGTCACTTAAGTGCCACGCCACAGAAAAAGCCGTTCTGGAAAAAACATGTTTTTAAGTGTGCTATAACTGAAGCTTTTTACACTGACTTCAGTTCGCTGTAGCTTTCAGTTTGGACATGAAGTTTCTGTTTTATCGGGACTTGTCTCTTAGGAGAAAGAGCAGAGAGCGATGCCGTTAGACCAGCCCACCCGGGATCCAGCTGCAGAGGCTCCCCGGCACCTCGTGCCTGTTTCTGAGCCACACCTGGCCTTGCAGCGGTCTGGGGCTGCTCTGCCCCAGCGCCCCTCGCCCAGCTCCACGCACTTCCTCCTCCTGCTTTCTTGGACAGGCCACTTTCGGTGCTGCTTAACAGTTCAGCGCTCCAGCCAAAGCCAAATGTGCCCCTTTCGGCCCACTCTAACCGGTGTTAAAATGTTAGGATTTAACAGATGATCTCCTTGCGCAGACAGGCCTGGGAGTTAATGTTTAGCCTGCTGCTGACTCATTAGGGAAGGGAGATGAAACACACCTAGTACAAAAGCTGCAAATCAACCAGTGCAGCAGTGGGTCCTCCCCGGCTCCAGGCTCTCTCCTCCCACGTAAGCACACTTGTTCACCACGTCAGCTCGTTCTGGAGAACGGCGGGTGCCCCTCGGTGCGTGCTGCGTGGCTGCTATCTGCCTCCCTCCTCCACCAGGCTCCTCAGAGCGGGCAGAAGTTAACTCTGGTGAGACAAAGCCAAGTGACGTGGGGGCCTAGTGCACCCGTTGTTAGGCAGGTAGCGGTAGGCTCATGCCGTTACTTTTAACTGAACAAGATGTTGCACCTCCTTGGGATGATCCTAAGGAAAGCAGTCTCGGTCTAGGTCTACACCAGGATCGATGCAATAAGTAGAACAGAAGCTAACGGGGAGGCAGTTTCCGACATGGATGGTGTCGAAGTGGAAACATGCTGCTGCAAGAACTCAGAAAGTTTGTCTAAACGTGAGCTTTCCACAGAAATCTTGGAAAACCATGTAGGCAGCTGGTGAAGGCGTCAGAATATGTATTCAACGTGTTTCTGCAGAGCTGAAGCCTCTCTTACTTTGCCTCAGAATAAAAAGAAGCTCCATGGAGACAAAAGGAAAACGCCAGGGAGATCAACCTTGCAGCGGCTTAAGAGGGATTCTCCCGGGCCAGCCTTTCTAGTCATTGCACACCTCCATGCTACTCAGACAAGGTTACACGCAGATGGCAAGTCTCTGCTACTTAAGGATATTTATGGTATGTCCTGCTTTTTAGAGGAAAGTCTAGGAACTTTCCCGTAATGTGAACCTCATCTCTGTATGTTTCTCCAGATCACGGCATCTCCGAGTTGCAGGCATGACTGCAACTACCTCCCTCCACTCATAACCACAAACGACTCCGTGGCAAGTACAGCGAAAGCTTAAACTGAAAGCCGCGCTCAGCAAGTATGAAGACGTTTTAACTGTGCCTATTTAAGCTGAGAAAGCAGCGGCACAAGCAACCGCGTGATCGCACTCCTGCCTGCAGGTGACCAGCGGAATTATAACTGCGCCCAAAGCAGCATACACAAATCAAAAGAAGCACTAAAAATACCCACTGAGACAAAGACAACGCTATCCAGCTCAATAAAAGTTGTGGGAAACCTATATAAAGAGCTGGTAAGCGTTCACTTTTTCAAGTCCATTAGTAACACTCGGGGACAATTTCCCTTTTTAGCATCTCTTATTACTACTAATGTCAGGTATAATCCAACATATAGGTAAAAACAGTGCCCATGAAGCTACGCTCTCCAGCACAGGGGCTTCCCATAGTTAATCACCACCTGGATGAGCCTCTGAAAGTAGGAGCACAGCTCCATGAACTCACCAACGCTTCGCTTTGCATGGTTAATTCTGCTGCTTTTTTCCCGTTTGGTGAACTGCTCTCTGTTTTTACTTGCGTTTCTGTCATGTCGTCTCTGCATCTCCTCTCCAGCGTAGCCTCCCGGCTGGGTTTCTCTCTCCTGACTTCTTTCGCTGGAGGTAGAAAAACAAGCCTTTACAGGCTCAGTTTGTCTTCACAGATCGACAAACTGTGAAAGGATCTGACTTCCTGTTTCATTTCCGCTCAACTTTTCAAAGCCACATAGGCTGTGTCTGCTTCTCCATATCCAAGCCGCAAGACCAAAAAAAAAAAAAAAAAAAAAAGCGCATAACTCAGCTATTTATAAAGGTCACATCGTTACCTCCCCACGCGTCTTCCAAGCTGTCTGAGTGCTGGAGACCGTAGGGTGATTTTCAGACTCTGATACAGCCACCGTAAATGGTTGCTACCGTAGTGGTAATCCTCACAGAGTCACATGGTGCTAGCTCTTCTACCTCTTCTTTTCAACGGCCATAGCACGTTTGAGAACTAAGCACTTAATATTACTGATCGAGCAGTCACCGTCAACACGGGAAACGCGGTGTGGCTGCAAAGAGGAAATGGGTGGTCCACACCAACGTCCCTTCTCTCTTCAGATATGGACCATGCTACGTAAAAGCAAGGTTTACACAGATGCAATTGCATCACTTCATAGGCACAGGCTTTTTAATAAGAGCGAGCAAAGGATCCTCTGAGCAATTCTTTCACATCCCTGCCTCACCCATCCTTCTAAGTTAAATGGTCTCTCAGCAGGCTAAAGCTACTAGTTCTTTTTTAGTTACCCCGTAGGAAGACGCAACGCAGTACCGTGGATTGTAACTTCACAAAATCCAGTCTCCTGCTCTGAAGACACCCACAACTTCTTATTTCAGAGAAGGAAGCAACCGTTTTCCCTGCCAGCTTAGTTGTCTGTTGACTGTTGCACTATGTTATAGACAAATTAAAAAAAAAAAAAAACCTGCTGGAACTCACATGACTCATGTGGCATTTTCCCTTTCACTGGAAGGCTGACCTCTCTTTCTGCATTTTTTATTAAACCTCTTTTATTAAACGCGGTCTTAAAGAGTGTTTTACCCCTTTATCACCCTTGGATCAGGCATTTACTTATAGCAATAAAGGAAAGTTGGAAAACTTTTGGAGGGGGAGGGTAACTTTTACTCACATCATTACATTATTCTTTCGGTTTGTTGGCACCCAGGAGCCAAAGGATAAATCTGCTGCCCCTCCTCCAGTGCAAGCCTTGGCCCCCATGACTACAAGTCTGTAAAGACTTCCTATTTCCCCATTGACTGTGGTGGAAGGAAGAGAGAGCAAAATAAACAATTTTTCTGTCTTTAAGGGTTCATTGCTGCCCGTGGATGCTCAGCTGCTACCATATACGTGTATATAATGTATATATGTATGTCTATGTGTATTTTTTACACCGACTATCTGTCTTCAGTTTCTGTTAGCAGAACAAGGTAATTCTGAGAGGGGAAAAAATGGGTGGCTACAGGACCAGCTAGACCTAGTGGGAGAGAAAAAAAGAAACAGCGCACATGTCCTCTTCTCATTTGCTTCCTCAGAACTTGTTTTGATAAAGCAAAATAAGCAATTTGATGTCTAATTTAAATGATATGGTGAAAATAGTTTATTTATTTTCTTCACTGCATTGCATTCCCCTTTATCATCGTTAGTTCCTCTATTGTACTTCCTCATTCATTTTGTCTGGTAGGTAGGTCTGCGCCTTCCTGAAAAAAATTCTCGACGTTTATCATTGCTCACTCATCCTCTTTTCTTCAGTTTCCACCTTCTTTATCCCATACCATATTTTTCAGTCGAGTATAGGTGGTTCACCTGGATGACTCCTTAACAACTCTCTGCGCTTCATCTAAGCAGGAAACACAGATTCCCTCATTTCCCTGCTGTGTCAGAGCGTGAATATTTACCAGAGCTCTGCACATCTGCTACAGCCTTATGAGCATCCTTAGAGCATGGTGAAAATGCCAGGGTTTTGAACAGTCTGTGCTGCAGGGATCTCAGACAGTTTTGGGAACTGTTCCTGTGAGCTCGGGGGACAGACAGAAGGGAGGAGAAGACAGACTAGGTCCTTCTGCACCCCTCACTACAGGAAAGCCTCAGCTGAGCTTTAGAACTGGACTAAATTACAAAAAATACAGGAAAAAATTCCCCATTTTTTGTTAAGATTTGCTAAGAGGGTTAGGCAAGGCTGCAGGGAGAATAGGAAAAAGAAAAAAAAACCCTAAAAGAGAAGAGTGTATGTTTGCCTTGTTAAAGGCAGTGACCACCTGGGCTGATATAGTCCACAAACTAAGAATAGCTGTTTTGCCAAGTTGGCAGTGTTTGCATGCTTGCATGTTTGTGCTCTTTATCGTATTCACAAGCTGACAAGGAAATTTCCTTTGTCCACCCCCGCACTTCTGCGGCTGGTGCTATCTGACTGCCTCTCCTCCCCGTGACATTCCCCTGTGGTTCTGCGAGAGGCAGAAACTGAGGGCTGCATCTGACTGCACAGCGGCTCAACACGCTCGTTTGCCTGCTAGCGAACGATGCTGGGACGAGTAGCTCTTCACCGTGCAATGCCACAGTTTGGAAGCCCAAACTTGATGTGGCACGACCCCGTCCAACTGCCTCAGAACAGTAACCACAAATCCTCTAGAGACGTAGCAGACACTTGAGGTAGTGCGGTCCAGAGTTGCAGGCAATTTCATCTCTATTCCTGAGCTTTACCTGGAAGAAAATCACTCCTTGAGGAACATTAGCAACTTCCTGCCACAGGATGTGGGCAGGCGAGGTGCTGCTGCACGCAGGTGCACAAGGTGGTACTTCGTGCGCCAGCAGGTTGGCCTTTTCCTTCCCAAGACCAGTAATGAGCCTAGCAGCCGTACTATCGACGTTCTGGACAGATTAGGATTTTGGAAGCATCAGGCAAGTTGTTAGTGCAGAGTTGCCTCCTAGTGCCTGGGCATGGACACAGGAGATCCACATCTTTGGGAAAAGGAATTCCCTTTACAGAATCTTTAACGGGCCTTGGTTTTGGACAATTCTTTGTAAATAAGCTCTTTTATACTTGGAATAAGGCTCTGCATTATGGCCTCTTTTTGTTTAGAGACCAAGTTGCAAAGACCAAGAATTCTGCTTTTACTCCATCAAGCTGTAGCACATTGCTGCCAGAAGAACGAAGGCGCAGCCTATTTGTAGGCACTTGCTTTTTTTTTTCCTTCTTCTTCTTAGTGTCAGTGTCTGGCTTTGCAGCAACTGCTAAATATTTATGCTTCACTGTCAAAAGTGCAGAGCAGCAAATCAAAGTAAGTATGTTAAGTATTTGAAGATCGGGGCGCTCTAACTGACTCACTGAGGCTGCAGAACCAAAGATCAGAGCATGCCCTCCTCTGGATTTCGCTTCTGAAGTAGAAGGAGCAAGCCACTTTCTCCCACCTCTACTAAGAACCCCTGTTACCGTCCATAATGGCTTTTTTTTGCATTGAAAAAGCAAAACAGGATCACTAAGGCAAAAAAAAAAAATCATTATTTTCAGCAGAAGAGTTCATTCACCCCAAATGAAAATATAACATGCCGTCAGTGAAAAAAAATTTTTTTCTTCAGAGGGAGAGTTAGCAAGAAGCAGGAAAATGAAATGGTCGTAAAAAGCCAGGCCGCAACGAGAAGGCAGCAGCCTGTACACAAAGGAGCAGCAGTGCTGACGGAAGAAGAGTCACCAAGCGACAGGGCCGGAGAAGGGATGTGCCTCCTTTCATAATGCAGTTTATTGATCTGAAAGACTTTCTGTATGAACAGTAACAGATGATTTTCCTTTCTAACAGGCTCTTGTGCAGCTGATAGTTTGCCTATGCTAAACTGCAAACATAAACATCTCAGTTTTATATGCCATTTCCTCTCTTGGTCTCCTGACAGAATCACCATCTACTCTGAGAGCTGAAATTAATACATGAACTTCTTTATTTAGTAGGTTAAAACAACCTATTGCTAAGCTATACATACTATACTTGTCTATATGCTTGGCAACATAGAAGGAAGGAGGGCATTCATTTCTTTTAGTTGTTGTATGGGCAGGAATTCAGAGGATGAAATTCTGGATTTGCTCTTGCCAATATCTTACGCATCCTTCAGAGAAGCCTTTTACCACCTGCTAAAAAGGGAGAAAAGAAATAAAAATCTTTCCCTTTTTTTTTTTTAAAGTGAAGCTTGAAAACAAAAATTGAGAGAAATTGAAAATACTGTGGTGATGGAGATTCTTCAATAAAACAAGCAGCACACTCAGCTCCCTTTGTAGTCGGTGAAGAAAAAGGCAGCATTCTCCCACTTACAAGAGATATTCAGCACCTTCTTCACAAACTGTGGGAAGGATTTAATGATTTATTATTTTTTTTCCATAGTTTTTATGGATTGTTCCCCATTTGATATTCTACTGTCTGAACTGCAAGGAGTAGAATAATAGCCACAGTTGAGAATATAAAATGAAATTTCCTAGCTGTTCCTGTATGATTTCTTCTCCAATACATCCACACACACACACACATTTCCCTGGACCCATCTTCCTACACAGAAATTTTGTCTCAGTGGAATTTGGCTTTGTATATTTATACTGGGTTTCTGGACATCCCATGGCCCTGCGAAAAAAGTTGTTCCACCCAGCATGTCAGACACCCAGAGATCCCACATGCAGACGTCTTCCTCCCAAGTTCAGGAGAAGGACAACTCGGTCTTGGATTCCGCCTTTATTTCCTCAAAATCGTTTCTAGACTTAATCACATCCTCTGGACAACCTGAACTTAGGCTACGTTAAAGTAACACTGCTTTCTGTGGCCCTTCAGGCTAAAGGCTAGCATAAGTGCTTTGAGCATTTGAAGTAACTACTCAAAGCTGCTACCAAATTTGTATGGAGAGGAGACACATCGTCTGGGAGGAGAAATGAAAGGGAGACCACGGGATTCGCATTTATTTCTGCGAGGAGAGCAATCTGCCGTTTCACGGAGGCAGCAGGAAGCCCGTGAGGAACAGACCGTACAACCATGGCTGCTGTTAAACATAGAGTCCCGGCTTCGAAACGCCAGCTATGTCTTGTTGGTAGGGTCTCTTCTGCTAACAAGTGTCTGAGGTCCTAAAAATACCTCACCTTCGGGACATTTCAAAAAGCTGAGTCAGATGAGGGTGTTTTGCCTCTTTCTCCCTCTAGTATAAATTATTCCCAAATGTGCTGGAACACTTTTCCAAAAGCCAAACAAGCGTAAGGTTGCCAGGTTTTTATTTTTACTTTTTAGGAGAGCTAACATGGTTGTCAAACGCTCAGCTATGACTTCGGCTAGCGAAGGCGCTCTGCCACCAATGGCCTATTTGCAACTAGGGGAAAAAAAAAAAAAGAGCAAAAAATTCTGTGTGTTCTGCTACGCTGTTTTTTTCCAAGTGAACATGGGAGCAGTCCCTCCTCCGCTGACCTTCAAGTGTTACTCTGACATAAAACGAACTAGTATGACTCAACGTGACTAAAACAGCATCATGGTAG